TATATTTTAAACAAAATCTCATGAGTGGCACTACTGGTGGCTGTCCACGCTTATTCTAGATCCAAAATATATTACAGAGAGGTTTTTTTCATAACTATTTCTGCATACATATTGCATGGATTTTGTGAGTGATCTGAGCAGGATTGGCAGAACAGACTGCTGCCTTTTCCACCCATGGCACTGAGGCAGAAAAAGTCTTCATAGCAAATAGGAAGCCATGCCATTAGGTTTAGCAAATTGCTAACAGTTTTCAGGTCATATTGTCAGCTTGGGATGTAGGTAGAATTTAGACATCTGGATTCTATTGAAAGTGCATAAATCTTTATTTAAATTTTGTTCCAAATTCTTCCTCTGAGGAAATTTGAGATCTGTACAATTCCTAGACATGGAATGAGGACTCAAGAAGCCAGTGAACTTTTGGGACTGACACATTCTAAGGAGAAGCATAAGTACTCATACTTGGATTGTGAGAACACAGACAGAGAAAGAGAGCTGATCCTTGTAGAAAAAAATCTCAAGATCAACAAAAAGGCACACTTATTTGCATAGAAATTCTAAATCCTCATCAATTTAATGGAAGCCTGGAATACTTGTGAATTGTTGGCCAAGATACAGATTGGAAAACTTCCCAAAAAAGTGCTTCATTACTTGTGTGGGTGTGGAGAAAGTGTTATAATTCTTCAACTGCATCTGAGTAGTTACGTTTCTTTATCACTTTCTAAGCCAAAAAACTATTTTTAAATTGAATTAAAAATTGCTACTTATGCAGTTATCTTGTGGATACCCTCCAAAACAGCATTTCTGTAGCTATCTTGGGTCAGAACAGCATGATGAATCAGCATGAAAACACCACCAGTTCAAACACAATTAATTCCCTTTATTTTTTCATTCCCCACTAAGATGTGGTTTGTATCCACCCCTCATAATTTACTCCTAATGTTTTCTCACTCTTAAATATAAAGAACATAAAGGAATTGTGATGTGATATAATCTATTTAATTCAGAACCAGAAAAGTGGAGCCTTAAGAGCAAAAGAAAAAAATATCCCAACAAACTAATAGGAAATTCTTAAAGAATAATTCAATTCTGTTCAATTATCCTGCAAAAGTCTCTGTAGCTCCTACTACAGAGCTAATACTCATATCACAGATGGAGGGAATAGCAAAGGTAATCATTGGCTGAGTATCACTGCTTGTTTAATCCTCAAAAAATTTGAAAAGGCAGAAATACTCTTGTCTCTCCATTACATCTGTTTTAGTTCTGACAGACCTGCCTGTAAGCAGACAGCCTTCCTCCAAAGTGAGGGCTTAAATAAGATAGAGATATCTAAAATATATGTTCATCTCATGTCCCCCTGACAAAGATCTGTGAAGGTTTTTATGTTGTGGAACAAAAGGGAAGATATTATCTGAAGAAAAGCACAATAGTCCAAATCTCCACAAATTTAGATCTTTGTGGATAATCAAAGAACCTTTCCAACCTAGCTGCTTCCTTGTGCACCCTGTGCAAAGTTAGATATCCACATAATATCACACCAACATCTACTTTGCACCCTTATAGTTTGCACAACTTAGAATAGAAGCAACTTAAAACATACAAGAAGTGTTTGGTGTGTCTAACTAGGAAAAAAAAAAGGTTTTCCAACAGGATGAAACCAGCCCATTTGTATACCCTATGCTAATATGCTTCTTTCAGAAGCTGATATATTCAGCTAAAAACCACATCCAGCACTAAGGGCTGTGCAGCAAAATCTCTCTGTGAGCAATAGGCTTGCCAGCTGCTGGCATTTCAGTGCTCTCAGTGGCATAAGATGAGTAGCACATATTTGTGCAAGGGAAACAAATCAAAAAGCCTTTTCAATTTACTCATTTTATCCTTGGTAGCTCCTCAAAGCCTCTGTTTTCCTAACTTGTTTGTTTAATGGAAGGTATTATTTCTCTTTACAAACCCTGCCTAGCGGTTTGCAACAAATTTGGTTCTTTAAGATTATTTCAATAGTAATATTCTTTCAACTATATACCTGATTCTCGTATCTGCTTCAGGAAGAATCTAGAGATTCAACAAATTTTTAAACAGTCAATTTATTTGTTCTCTCTGCACTGCTTGCAACAGCCTCATCTTTTACTTCAGGAGAGACGTTACTGGATCACAACAAAAGGTTCCTATAGTGCCCTAAAGAGACAGGTGACAGCACAATTTCTAATTATATTTCAAAAATTCTTCTTTGTCCTGTGTTAACCCTGCTTCCTAAAGAAATGTCTCCCATGTAACCTCAGGATCTTCAAGATTTAAGTACATCTAAATGCCTCTGAGGAAAGTGGCCAACTTGAAGGACAGTGAATTTCATTCACATTCTCTGCTTCTGAATTTCTGATTGAAATTTCCTAATCCTGTATTTGTATTAGTTGCCCTGAGATAGTAAGACTAGTAAGGGAGGTATCACTGGTAACCTTCTTCTCCTACATAATAGAAAACATTGAAGTGGTTTCACCAAAGCCTTGGAAAAATGGACCTCGTGAAAATGGTCTGAACCTCTTATGCACTGTATACATTGTGATTTGCAGCTCCTGTACCACAAACAAAACTTAAACTGGAAGTATGTGTTTTCAGAGATACATTTTCCTCAGTGATCATTCAAGGATTTTCTATCTACATACGTGTAAGAACAGCTGCCAATATGACAGCACCATTACCATCAAAGCTACACTGGCAACATTTCATCATTCACATTTGCTTTTCATACTGCCTCCCTGCTTTGCATATTTTGTAGATATGCACTATTCAAAGATTTCTTAATATCCAAAACTAATATTTGGCCTGGCTTAGCAGTGTTACAGCAATATAAGATTAATTATTTTTAAATAGGATTACAAATCATGGAGATTTTTAAATTCTTTACTGCTGAGTAGTAGAGACATTTTGTTAATGAATTGCTGGCTTGTCTCCTTTTATTTGTGATACCTACTATCTCAACTATATAATGGATTTGGGTGACAGAGGTTAAGCATCATAAGTCACAGAATTTTAATTTCAAGTAGGTAGTAGACAACACTATAATGAATTATGAAGAGATGGTGTTCAATAAACATTCAGTGAAAGAACTGAGAACACAAAGATGAGAAAATAATTCTAGTTTAAATCAGCATTAGCTGGTGAAAATCAGCCATTTACAAGAGGTTATGTTCTTTCTCAATACAAAGACATATCTATTGTTAGTGTTTTAGGAGGAGAGGGGAGTGGAGAGAGAACTGAGAGAACAAGAGATGCAGTCATCAACGTGACCAGTTCAGTCAAAGCCCCTGTTCAGCACACAGCAGTGACCTCCAATGTTAAATGAAGAAATAGAAAAGAGCAAAAGCCCAGTGCTACAGTGTGAATCACCACACATCCTTAAGAAAGCTTAATTTTGTTAACCTGTTTTCAAAAGATTGGTAGAAATGGAGATGGAGAGCTCAGAGATGGACACAAGAACAATCAAAGAATATAAATACTTAATGGGGAGAGAGTGTAAAAATGAAATCACCTATCTTACTAATAGAATAGAAAAACAGAGAATAACATTGGGAAGGTAGATAAACCTATTCATATTCTCTTGCAATACAGGAATTAAGCTTAAAAATCAACTTAGATAAATTAAAATTAAGCAAATGTCAATATAGCAGCAATTTAAAAAATCAAACCAACACCAAGAACACAGATCGTTTGATACTGACAAAGTCTGAATATGGATTTCATTGCCACAAGATGCTTTGCGGCATTCAGATAACTGCTGGCCAATACAGAGGTCACAAAATAAGGAGTACGAAAGTAGAGGATGCTTGTACAGAAATTAAAGTTCTGAAATTAACACAAACTGTGATGCTTCTTTATACAAAACAACTTCCATTTACTGTAGGAATCTCTTTCGAAAGATTGTTGCTTTGCAGAAACCTAATGCAGAGTTTTTCTAAAAACTTTCTGAAGTAAACAGTCAAGGCTGCTGTTGGATATGGAGTTGGTAAACTACTTCTAAAATCTAGTTACAAGGTTTTACAATTTTTTTTCAAATTTGTGTGAAGTTTTAATGAAAAATTACCTTCTAGCTGTTAAAACTATTGTCATAGAATTTAGGCTGTGGAAAAGGGAAGCTACAGGCTGCAACTTACTTTAGAATAGAACCTGCATGGAAAAAAGGATCTGTCAGCCTTCCTCTGCAGAGCACTGACACAGGCAAATGTGGGCTCTTTAGTATGGCTTTCCATCACAACTGAACATCTAAGATACTCTTCTGCAGTGTGTACACACCTCCTTGTTGCTCCAGTGACTGTATCTTTTGCAAGAAGCTAAATGCCAGTGAGCATAACTTGGATTTTAAGACAGCAGATGCAAATTTTTAAAAAGCAAACATTTGAAAGTATTTTTTCCTTCAAGCAAAACATTATTTGTCAGAAATGAAATTGAGCTATTCTGGGATTGTCCTAGAATAAAGATAAAACTTAGGAAACTATAATTACTGCATCTTCTCTGGTCTGGTAAAACTCTGCTGAACCCAGCGAGGTTGCACTGCCACTTTGAAAGAATCAGCTCAAATCTACCTGTGGTATAAAGCAATTTAAAGGCATATGTTCCAAATTTTAAAGCAGCTGGAAATGCCCTATTTACTTGCATAGAGCCATGGTGAACGTTGACAGTTTAGGTCCGGTTTGGCTTTGACACCCTGGCTCACCAGTGGCAGCGAGGAAGTTACCCAGAGGGACAGCCAGGCACCCGGGCTGGCGTCCGGGCGGCAGCTCACCGTGCTCCGGCGGGCTCCTTCGAACAGAGAGGCTGCGGGCTGGCACTCGCCTCGCTCCCTGCTCTGAGCACGGCTCATTTCCAAGGGACCCGGAGGAGGAGGCAGGAGAGCGCTGGTGGGACCGCTCAGTGCGGGTCCCCCGCCCGGGGCTGCGGGCAGCGGCGCGGGCCGGTCCCCCGGAGCGGCGGGAGGCCGGGGCAGGGCTCGGGGCGCCGGGCGCTCTCACCTGTCGATACTTATCACACAGAGGGTCATGATGGAGGCCGTGCAGCACATGACATCCATGGCGATGAAGACGTTGCAGAAGAGGCGCCCGAAGATCCACTCCCCGCCGATAAGGTCGGTGACGCTGACGAAGGGCATGACGGCCAGGGCCACCGAGAGATCGGCCAGGGCCAGCGAGACGATGAGATAGTTGGAGGGCTGCCGCAGCTTCTTCACGAAGCAGACGGAGATCACCACCAGGCAGTTGCCGGCGATGGTCAGCAGGGTGATGAGGCAGAGCACGGCCCCGATGAGAACTTTCTCCGCGCTGCCGTAGCTGAGGATCTGCTCCCCGCACTGCGAGTCGTTGGCGGGGAGGGGGCTCGCCGTGGGCAGCGCCGACGGGGGGGGCGACGGGCCGAGCTTCGCCAGGCTGCGCGGGGGCCAGGAGCCGGCGATCATCCTGCCGCCGCTCAGCGCCCGCGGCTCCTCCAGGACCAGGGGCCGCAGGTTACCGTAGAGGTGGCTGCCGTTGAGGGCGAGCACCATGTTGGCGTGAGCAGCCCATGAAGCCTCGCCGCCCGTTCTCCGGCTGTCCCCGGCGCCGGGATGCTCGGGCTCCTCCTCGGGCGCCCGGCGCCACCCGCCCCCTCGCAGCCGGCCGAGCGGCCCGTGGGGGCCCAGCCTTCAACTTCCCCCGGGGCAGCGGGGCTCGCCCGCGGCGCATCCCGGGTGGCCGCGAGGTGGGCACGGCGCTATCGCCCCCAGCCCGGGGGCAGAGGGGCGGGCGGGGGTGGTGGCCGCTCCCTCCCTCCCACCCGCGCCCATCGCCCGCTGCCACCCGCGGCTGCTTCCCGAAGGCGACAGGCGACGGGATGGGAACCGCTCCGCCCCTCTCTCCCTCCTGCCCTCTGAGCTGCAGGTGGCGGTGCGCCCCTTCCCCGCAGTCCGGGGAGCCGGTTCCTCCCGAGGCTTCTCCTTCGCGGCCGCCCAAGCGAGGGGCGCTCTGGGAAACCCCCTGTATATATATATATATATATGTGTGTGTGTGTGTGTATGTGTGTGTGTATGTATGTACACAGGTCTCGCCGGGAGGCTGCGGGCGGGTGCCGCGGCCGGCGCAGAGGCGGCCGCAGGCGGAGGCGCTCCGGCCGGAGCGGGGTTCCAGCCTCTCGGTTTGCCGGCTCCGGCACAGCCCTGCGGCGCGTCCCGGCTATGTAAGCACTTCTCTGTGTATCCAAGCTTGCAGATTCTTCTTCATAGTAAGATGATGTGAATACCATCGCCTATATTTTCTCTTTTATTCATATTTTTGTACCCTGATTTTGAATTTACTCTGTGCTCCATGTGTAATTCCTTCTGTAAAGCTAAAACCAACAAACCTCTATTGCTTGAATTACCTGTTTTTCTTGTAGGCTCCCTGGACTCTTAGATACAAGCCAAATTTTGGGATTCACTAGCTTTCTCAGTTCTTTAAGTCCTATTCTTGCCTTCGAGTGGGGTAAAAATTAACTGTTTGAATTGTGAGTTACCCATGGGATGCCAGCAGAAGATCACACCCCGTGATATAGCAACATGATGCCAGACAGTAAGGACTAAAACCAAGAAACACTTGTTCCTGAGTGTCCCTCACATTGTCAACATGAGACAGAAGCCAGGTGAACTAGAGAAGGAGAGGGAATTGAAAGCGCTGGTGCCAGATGTATCAATTACCATGAGGTTTAAATGAGGGGAGATCTTGCAACATATAAAGTTTTATTTAAGTATGTGCAGGACAGGGAAGAACTGTTTGTGTGGCTCAGTAGTAAGAAAGGCTCTAGGATGGTTGCACATTATACTGACTTTAAAATCTGCTTTGAAGACAAACCTAATTAATATCCAGTTATTGGGGGCAAAAAAACAAAACCAAAACCCTCAACTGACAGTCCTACAGACTAGTGAAACACAAATCCATAGCAACTGAGGCTTCCATACTTGATTCACAGAACACAGATTGAGCACAGGCAGAGCCTCCTGTGGTCAGAAATGCAGGGTTTGGTAGTTGAATTGCTGCCCTTCCCTACCACCCCACATCTTGATTTGACTAAGATAATAAAATAAGCAATGATAAGGATGAGATCTTGTTGGGCAGCTCCTTGCCCATTACCAAGTTGAAACCATTTTCCTGTTCAGTCAGGTGTTTCCCCACACTTTGTTAGTTGCTTTATTGCGTCCAATCATAACAAAAAAAAACAAAATCACAAAATAAAAATCCCTGTTTAACCACCCAAAATATGTTGAGCTTCAGGTGAGTTACCCCACCAGGTGAAAATGAAGTATTTTGTCCTCTTCAGTTAAACAAATATTAGGAAGAAAAAGGTCTTTAGAAATTGCAAAGATATATCTAAGTTAAAACATTAATGCAAAACTTGGAGAGAGAATGTTTCCTTATTAGTTAGACATATTTTTCAAAAATAGTGTCTGAAGCACAGCTAAGGAGTTAGAAACTTAGTAAATTTTGTTCAAAATAGATTCTTATCACAAAAGCTGATAAAATTGTACAGTTTAATACTCCCAGTAAAACCAATTTTTCAGTTGCTTAAAATGTCACTAAGGCAGAGCAAATTAAAATCTGGTGCTTCCTACAAATGCGTTAACACAGTTCATTAAATCAGTCATTCTTCTTGACAGCTTTTCAATACACTCCTGGGATGTGACTCTAAATGTTCTGAGTGGATGATACACAGGATCATTTGGTAGGGTAGGGATCACTCCTACCCATTCCAACCCAAAAGTAGGACTGAACCTTTGTTCTGTATCTTAAATTCCCTTACAGTTCATTCCAAGTTAATCACCTGATTTCTTTCCTTCTCAAAGGCCATGTTACCACTCTTTGAATTTGCTGTTGTAATCTTACCTTTGAAGAAACAAAACAATTTAAATCAATTTAGGTGCCATTATAGAAAGGGATTTATGTACTATTGCAGAAAAATGTGAAAAACCCTGGCAAGACAAAGCAGCTGACACCTCTCTAAAATATGCTCCTTGAAAGGTTTTTACTAGGACACACCTAAAATAACTTCCAGTTTCCCATGCTGGGCTGAATTGGTGAGCTGCTTTCCATGAGGGTTTAGAGGGTTTCACATGGCCAGTGTCTGGAAAAGCATGGAGAATCCATCACTCCATGAGATGACATCTATTCTAGGCACTTAAAATAACAACAAAGGAAAGTAGGACTCCATCTTTCCAAGGGTACATCCCACTTTTGTCTTCAGTGATCCTATTTAAAAATTCTAACATGTTGTTCCAGACAGAATACAGAATTGAAACAAATGTCCAATTAGGTGTCAAGAATAACAAGCTGACATTTGTTCTCTACCCAAGAAATTACTTTTTCACCTTTCATTAGGCTTCAAAAAATAGAATCAAATCATTTTTCTGTCTGGGCTTAGTAAAATCCTGTCCTTTGAGTAATTTAGGCTCTCTGTGCATAAAAGCCTCTTAATATTTCCATATACCTCCAATTCTGTGCTAAGTCCTTTGTCCCCCATTCCTTCTGCACTTAGTGAAGTTAAACTATTTTGTTAATATTTGATAATGAACTTTATTTGCAAATCTCACCTTTGGTATTTTATTATTATTGTATAGAAAAATTTCAGATTATAAAAAGATAAAAAAAATGCAAAAGAACTTTTTACTTTGATTTTTTTCCCTCTCCCTAAGTAGTTAACTCCTATGTTTAATTTTTTCCCCTCCTCCAGAAACAGTGCTAATCACATAACATCTTCAGCATTTGCTATTGATACTAAGTGCATACTATAGCAGTGACTATCGCTATCAATTCTTTGCTGCCACGTTAGTGAGATAAGGTAAGACAGGTCATTAAGGCTAGCCAAGGAAATACAGTTTCCCAAGCACATTTTGATTTAGTGGGGCCAGACTGTGTCTATAAAAGTGTTTATGTTGAAAAACCTTGCATTAAATCCTGGATCCTTCATCCCTCTCTGGAGGACTTGATGCTTGCAGACAGCAGGTCTGTGCTAACTTGGAGGATCCTGACTGAAATGGGTCAAGGAACACAGTGCAAGAGCATCAGCAGCAGAGGAGAAAACGCTGACAGCCCAGCATGGCAACACCTCCCCTCACACAGCTGCCTCTAGAAAACAATAGCCCTTCTCTTAGCTGAAAAAGTTGAAGGCACTGCTACATTCCCCTCCTTAAACCATTCAATATTGTACACACGGCAGGAAGGTAACATGAGTATGCAATGCAATAAACAATCAGATCAGAAATTTTTCTTATTCTTTTGTTCTTTCTTATCATCCCCTCTTTTGTCCTTCCTTGCCTAAGAGAGCTTATCTCCTTAAACGGTTGTTTTCATTTGTCTGTCATATCTCCTTTTCTTTTCTTTTCTTTTCTTTTTCTTCTTTTCTCTTTTTTTCCTTTCCTTTCCTTTCCTTTCCTTTCCTTTCCTTTCCTTTCCTTTCCTTTCCTTTCCTTTCCTTTCCTTTCCTTTTCCTTTTCTTTTTTTGCTTTGCTTTCCTTTATTACTGAAACCTTGATTTTTATTCCCAGCATGTACTGTTTAGCAAATAACACTTGTCTAATTTCTAGCAAATATGTTGCAGCTGCACTTTTCTTTTCTGCCTTTTCTTGCCTTTGTGAAGATAAATCATCATCATTCTGTGGCAGTAAAACAGAGAGGTAACTATTTCCATATTTGGCCATTTCTTACCATTGTCAAAATAAATACTTTCATCTGTGCAACTTAAATATGAAATTATGTCTTCCCTTTTTTGGAACTAGCAAATACTAACAACAGCAAGGTCGCATCTGAAAAGAAAGTGGACAGTGAAGGTGACATTTATGCTTAAAATTCTGTATCACTCAAAATGAGAGCTCCCAACTCTGAAAATTCCACCTGTACCTTTACATTGGAGTTTATGGAGGTTATGAGGTTATGATAAAAGTGACTGTGACATTCATGTTACTGAGTTGCTGAGGCAGATAGTAATAAACAAAATCTTAGCGCCCAAAAAGTGCCAAATGCAGAACTAAAGGAAAAAAACCTTAACAGTTGCTACCATGGGCTTCCCATTGAAAACATATTAGAAGAATTGTGACAGTTTCTGCATTAAAATTTACTGAAAGGCCTGTCTTGAGGTCTAAGTGTATCAAGAAGCACTTGGAGTTAGGAGATCTGTTTTCACCAAGGAGAACTTCAGGACAGTAACGAAACAAAGCAAGTTAGAAGCTTGCAGCTTAACAGTGAGAACCATAAGGAAGCTCTTCCCAGACCACTGGGGCTGGTGTAAATAAAAGCAGTAATAACTAAAGCATAACTAGGAAATAAGGCTGTGCACGGTTCTGAGGACATGATTTGTGATACTTGGTGCTAAAAGTGCTTTGTACGGAGAATCTTACACCATTACAAACAAACAGGGTTCTGCAGATCTTATGCATGAAGATCTGTTTAAATGTCCTCCATTTTAAGCACATCAGTGAAAGGTTTCTTTTGCTTGTATATCGACAAACACAAAGGCTGCTTAATCTTCTTTGGTATCTCTGAACACTGTTGCAGTAGGGCCATTCAGAAATAACTGATACATGCTTCTGGATCGCTTTTTACATTCATTAAGACAAATCAAGTTACATCAAACACTGAGCCAAAGAAAACCTGGAATAATATCTCGAGCTGTTCCATTTTCACACACATTGAAGAAAAACCTCGGCAATACCATTCAGGCTGTGCTGCTTGTTCAAATGGCTGGCAGAGAAGCAGTACTGATGTGATGTAACAGGCAAGCACCTTACAGATGCAGATGGGCTCAAACAGAGCTTCTTTATTGAAGTATCTTGATCTAATACTGTCAAGAAAAAAATGCTGCCATAGATGT